ATCTCAAGAAAAATATCAATTGGTTAGAGCTCAGAGCCATACACCTAGCACTTCGCCATTTCCACAAGAAGTTGGCAGGCCGCCACGTGCTGGTTCTGACAGACAACGTGGTGGCAAAGGCCCATGTCAACAGGCAGGGCGGCACTCGATCACGGATTCTAATGTCCGAGGCCCAGTGTCTGGGGTCATGGGCGGAACAGAATCTGTTGTCCCTAAAGGCAGAACACATTTCAGGGGTGGAAAACGACCAGGCAGATTTTCTGAGTTGATCTACGATAGATCATTCAGAGTGGCGTCTACATCTCCATCTCTTTCGGGAGATAACTCACCGTTTTGGTCGGCCCAAACACCCAGCTTCCCCGGTTTCTATCTCGGTACCCATCCCAGGGTTCGGAAGGAGCAGATGCCCTCCGCAGCCCTTGGCCGGCGGGCCTTCTATATGCATTTCCACCCCTTCCCTTGATCCCGGCTGTCATCAGGAAGCTGTTACAGGAACAGGCGGAGCTAATCCTTGTGGCCCCGTATTGGCCGAGGCGTCCATGGTTCACGGATCTCATGAACCTCGCCGTAGCCCCCCCTTGGCAAATCCCTCCAGAGAGGATAATTCTAACACAGGGGGCCATATGCCATCTGAACCCACAGTGGCTACAACTAGCCGTCTGGCATCTGAGCGCCAGTTCCTGATGTGCGGATCTTACTCCTCAAGGGTGATAGCTATGATCCAAGCTTCCAGATGGCCGGCGACGAACCGAATCTATGATGCCACTTGGAAGAACTTCTGTGACTGGTGTACCTGTAAGGGTTTGTCTATCTCTTCTGTCACTATTCCAGTGATTCTTGAATACCTCATGGATGGAGTGGATAAAGGCTTAGCCCGAACACCTTGCGTAGACAGGTGGCCGCTCTTTCCACGGTGTTCACCTGTGCCAACGCCACTCCATTGTCCCATCATCCCAGGGTCCGATCCTTTATGAAAGGAGTCTCCAACACCAGACCTCCGGTAGTACACAGGTATCCATCTTGGGAACTACCTCGTGTTCTGCAGGCACTCACTAGGTCTCCCTTTGAACCTATAAGGTCTTGTCCTCTTCACATTTTGTCCCACAAGGTGGCTTTCCTAGTAGCCATCACGTCGGCGAGACGCGTGTCAGAGCTGGCTTCTCTTTCAGTTAGGGAAGACCTGTGTACCTTCTATCAGGACAGAGTGGTGCTGAGTTAGATCCCTCATTCATTCCCAAGGTGAATACCCTGTTTCACCGGGCTCAGGACATTGTACTACCAAACTTTTGTCCCAATCCTTCTCACGCACTAGAAAAGCAGTGGCATTACCTAGATGTACATAGGGCATTACGTCATTACATTAAGAGGACAGCTTCCTTTCGCAAATCGGAGGCATTGTTTGTCTCTTTCCACTCAACTTCCAAGGGACAGAAGGTTTCCTCCTCTACTATAGCCAGGTGGATCAAGGCCTGTATCGCTCAATCTTACCAGGCTTCCTCTTTACCTGTCCCAAGCCGCCTGACAGCGCACTCTACTCGTAGCGCTTCCACATCGGCGGCATGGCAGACTCAGGCGTCCATAGAGGACATCTGTAAGGCGGCTACGTGGTCGTCCCCTTCACCATTCATTCACCACTACAAACTCGACAAGTTTGCTTCCACGGAGGCTGCGTTTGGCCGTTGGGTTTTACAACAAGTGGTCCATTTCAGCATCGACACTTAACCAACCTGCTTCCCACCCGTGGGATCATAGGGGCTTTGGTATGTCCCATCCGTGGAGTCTACATTCCTCTACATGCTGGAGAAGGGGCGTTGTCTTACCTGAATGCCTTTTCTCAGCATGAGGAATGTAGACTCCACCCCCTCCCTGATTATTACTAGCAGCTAGGTTAGTGTCAGCAGTTCAGAGCCATCTCGTCACACAATCATTCGCTTCGCCCTTTCGAAACTGGGGCATGGTCAGACCCTGCAGAGGCGTGGCAACTTTGATTGTTTGGTCTGATTGGGCTAGAAGACTAAATCAACCCATCCGTGGAGTCTACATTCCTCATGCTGAGAAAAGGCATTCAGGTAAGACAACGCCCCTTCTATTTTAAATTTCTATCACTATTAAACCTGTATTATAACTTTATCAGTTTACAATTACAATAACTTAAATTTAAAACAAGAAATTATCAATTCTAATTCTTAGTCTCTCACATCCCTCATATTATCACCAATCTGATTTATTTCTTCTTCCACTACACAATAGATATCCTAATAGCAATAAAATATTGATCAGCCCTAAATATATGTAATCCCAAAGTCAATCCATCTCTTTAAAATAACGAGATAATATTAAACCTAAATTCATTCAAATTCATTAAACAAAATTCAAATTTTCTCTAATTACTTATCATGCCTTATCATGTCTTTGTTGTCATATAAGAAATCCATCCTAGTAATTTAAAACATTCCATAAATTATTAAAAGCATCCCAATCTAAACAGTCATCATTTTTTCAATTCCAGTACATAATGATTTTATATTTCCCAAACGCTACATAAGTACAATCCAATACATTCTTAATCTGTTTAAAATATCTATTCTAATAATCACACTCCTGTATGTGTGTATGTATGTATGTATGTATGTATGTATGTTTAACTAGCAAAAATGCAAGAACACCAGGAAATATAAAACTATAAAAAGTTTTAATGTTAAAATACCAAGCTTTCGCCAGCAACTGCCAGCATCGTCAGGGTAGCTTCCAGTCGATGGGAGAGGCTATTTATGGATATGGCGTTCTTTGCGCCTGGCTTCTGGACTTCGTTACAGGTCCCAGCCAATCCACTTGCACTCTGATCGTAGTTTCCGTGTTGCTGATCATTATTTTCTTGCTTTCCTTGTTTGTATCTATGCCCCCACCCCCCCTCCTCATGTGGCCGTGGATTGGGGGAGCCTGTACATTTTCGCTGTTTGTTTTCCTCATCCTCCTTCCTGATACTCCCCCTCCTCGTTCTCCTCCCACCTTCCCTCTTTCCATAGTCCTTTTTCACAGTTGCCATCTCATTGCTTTCTCCTACGTCACAAGATTTCATTGCAGTTATCTTATCATAACCCCCGTTCTCCAGTGTTGCCCCACTAACTTTCATTTTCTTATCAATGATTATTCTAATATAATTTGGTTTATAAAATAGTCAGGTGTAGCCTGGTCATCCATTTGAATGTTTGAAGTGAAAGTTCTGGATCTTAGTTCTGAACTAGATTCTTTCAATATGGCACAAATTTCTGTAGTGGCCTCATGTATCTTTTCCAGTATAAGCTTATAGTTTAATTGTGAATGCAATTTCTCCATTTTGATAATAGTTAGTAGTAGTTTTGTTTTGTTTTGCTTTGTTTGTGGAGGCTGTATTTGGTAAGAGTTAGTCTATATCCACCCCCACAATTCCCACAGCTCAGCTTATCTTTTTCCAAAAATGATTTGAAGGTCAGGTCTAGTCTAATTTCAAAGAAGTAACCAGAAGATGCAATATTAAATTTTTGCCACTAGATGTCCTCAGTAGGTTAAAAAAAGAGTCTTTTCCAGACAGCATTGCTTTGTTTCTATCTTTAAAAGTATAGTGTGAAAGAAGAAATAATCTTCCAACACCAGGTGATAGTATAGTTCTTAGCAGAACAAAAAAGAGAGAGTTTTCGGTATCCCAAAAAATATGAAAGTAAATTTTAATCTTGTAAAACGCCTTCTTTCCCAAAAATATAAAAGCTGCTTTCTCTAGCCAGGGAAATAATTCCAACAAGGCTCTTACAGGCAAAAAACAAAGTCAAGTAGAGAGAGTAACAAGGAAAAATCTCACTTGGATTCACTACGGGAGCTCTTACAGCTTAGATGTTCTTGACTTGTGGTTTGAAGCAGCAGGATGATCGGCCATTTTACTGGCCAATCTTCTTCTCCGTCGGCCCTCAGAGATCGCCTGGACAGCTGGAGGAGCTGCCGCTCCTCCGCAGCCAAGCCGAAGCCTCTTCGACGGAAATCGCACCCTCCAGGGCAGCTTTCGACCCGTATAAGAGTCGACCGGTGGAGGGAAAGCTAGCCGCCGAGGAGACGAGTCTCCCCGTGCGACTAGAGTCTCCGCGAACCGGAAGTCTCCAAGCATCCAGATTTTGATCACGTGACCATGGGGATGTTGCAATGGTCGTAAGTGTGAAAAACAGTCATTGGTCACTTTTTTCAGTGCTGTTGTAACTTTGAACGACCACTAAATGAACTGTTGTAAATCGAGGACTACCTGTAATCCAAAATACTTTTACAGCTGAAACTTTACAGTCAGTCGTAAACAGTTCCTCTCAAAGACGAGGAGAGCACCATAACATATTAAACTAAAAAATGAATGAGAAGAGCTTTCAGCAATAAAGGAGAGATTTTTTATCAAAAGTTAAAAAAAAATTAAGAACAGTATTTCTTGATAAATTTATAAAATACAAAATCACTGTAGTGAAAGTTCAGTACTAATGTAAATCAAAAAAAAAAATTCATTGGAGTTTCCGAAGCTTCCATGCAGAAGAGACAAAATTGTTCTACAGAAGCTAATCAGACAATAAAAAGAACATTAAAAAGCCACTTTAAGATCTAGCAGAGGGTTAATTTGAATCAGCATCCAACCAGTACATTAACGTTTAAAAGTAGACATCAAAAAATGTCAAAATGTGCAGTTAAAATCTAGGCATTCTTAAAAAGCAAACAGTAGAAAGGAAAAAGATGGAGACTCGACATTCTGACTACTCCCACTTAGAATTGTTACCTTCTAGGTCCTCTTCTGAGGTACATCCATGGTCATCCAAAAGTCCTCTTGAGTCATTCCTAGTAGCTCCCATTCATAACTGGGGAGCATGCTGCCAAGAGAAATAAATCCTGCTGGCTCAAAACACCCTCTTGGGGGCAGGTCCAGATTGTGTAATTCACATTTAGTGTTGTTTTTAATATATATTATATAAAGATAACAGCATCTTTGTACAATGTAGGTTAAGCATATTGCTGAAGATCCTCCTTGTAGCTGCTCTCATAGATTTTCAATTGAGTATTTGTCTGAAGGGCGCTATAGATTGGGAGACAAAATACTGTTCATTCGAGTAAGTACAAGTTTTCAGTGATTTTGCTCTGTCACTTAAGCATCAGTCTTAATTGGATGGGAATTTATTCCTTTTCAAAAGATGACAATATACTGTAATTTAATTGCTAGTACCTTACCTTAGTTATATTATCTGCCTAATTTCATTGCCTATCTGAAAATATCCCACTGTTACTGATGCTTGGAAATACTTCAGCAATCATTCTTTCTCTTTGCTGCCATAATGCTGGGCAGCTTGTACTCCTCTGTATCTCTTGATCAGCAGTTGTTTTTGTGTGGTGTGTGTGCACAATATTTCTATTGCTTTCTAAATATTGATGGCAAATGGGAAAACTGAATATTAAAACCATTTTAATATTTCATGCAATACCTATGTTGCAATCAGTTATAATCAATAAATCTTTTATCTCCTTTTCTATTAGATGTTACATGGCAAACATGTAATGGTACGTGTTGGTGGAGGCTGGGATACTCTTCAAGGTTTTCTTCTCAAGTATGATCCTTGCCGAATGCTTCAGTTTGCAACGTTGGAACAAAAGATTTTGTCATTTCAAAAAGGTGCCTCTGGTGATACAGTTTCTGATTCATCTGCTAGACCTCCACAGCCTCCACTCATGAATCCCATATCTGCCATTGATGCCTATCATAAACAGAGTTCAAAGGTCTCTACTGTGGCTTCAGTTTCAAAAAATCCTCGTGTAGGTAATAGGAAACAGGCAGGATGTAAGTTTTCCCAACCAACAGTTCTTTCTTCTTCAGAAGCAGTAAAGCATTCCTCACGTACAGACCACCCCAAATTAAAAGATTCTTTAGTAAATAACATTCAGTCATTTTCCAAATCATCAAAACCAGTTTCAAAAAAGCCAGCTCCACCTTCTCATAACCTTACATCTGTTTCAAAATACAGACAAACTATAAATAAGTGCTCATCATCAGCTCAGGGGAGAACTGCTACAACACCATCAGCATCTCTTCAGAAATGTACTGTATCATCTATCAAGCCTGCATGTTCCCAAAATTCTCCAACCGTACAACATCCTGCTCTAGGTTGTTCAACCAATAAACTTTCAAAGTTGGCTACAAGGATAGGCTCTCTAGAACATCATTCTCCTAATAGTGCAGCTGGGCTCAGAACTGTAGACAAATGTATGCCTCTTTCAAAAACCTCAGCAAAATCTGTAAAAATAATTAACAGAAACTTAAATGTGTCTAAGCCGTCTTGTCCTCAAACATCTTCTGCAATGCCTACAAAAATAATTTCCCAAAATAACAGTCAAACATTACCCACACAGTTTTATTCACACAGAGGGAAACTGGAAAGTAAGCAGACCAAACAGAAAACTGGTCTTGGCCCCAAACAGCTGAGTTCTAATTCCTCTCTTACAAATGATAAAGCAGCTGAGCAGACATCTACAGTAGATGTAAAGAGTAAAAATTCATTTTCACCTGTTAATAATTCTTCAGCCAAGAAGAGACCAGTTCAAAATAGCAGGATGAAAACACAGGTAACAGCTGATGTAACAACACATTCTGATCGTATGCCATTATCTATTGTGCGTCTTCCTCAAACATCAACCCTAAATGGGACAAAGAAAAAGACATTAAAGGCTAACATCAAAAGTCAGGCACAGGTCAAAGTCTCCCAAAAGAATGATAAAGACGTTGATTCAACCATTAAGGATTCTGTTTTAAAAGGAAAAGCTGCAACTGTTCTAACTAAAGGAACACAGATTAGGTTAAAGGATTCCACAGTAAAGTCAAAACAGGATGATAATTACTTTGTTGTGACTGGGAATAAGAAACTCAGAAAGTAAAGTACTCAGAATTTCAATTGATTATTGCAATATATTTTTCTAATAGCTACCTTATACTAGTGACTTTAACAAAATAACAATACAATAATTTGAATGCTAACTGCCTTGGAACAGGAGAGTTTAAAAGGTTTCCTAGTCCTCACAAGTGCAATAACTGACTGGATTACAAAAAGGCACTTTATCACAATCTGAATTATAATTATTTTGGGATCTATTTCTCACATTGATGTTAAGATGATAAGAATACTCCCAATAGGTCATTTATTGCTCAGGTTCATGTGGCAAATATTTCTTTATGAATTGTAAGGTGCTGTTTAGCATCTCCACAGAAAAATACAGCACAGTAAATTGGCTGTATTATTAGTTATATCTGCCAAAAAAATTGATATTCTCTGATAAGAGTCATTTGTTGACTCTGTCATGAATATTTGTTTCTGATAAGGGCTTTAGTCAAACATGAGCATGAGAATTGGTATTTACTACTATTGTATGTGCATACTACTAATTAGAAAAGCAACTGTCAAATAGTCTTGAGTTAAGAATAACTCCCAATAAATATCTACATTGCTAAATTTTATTTAAACTTTCAGTCAAAGAAAACACTAAGAATATTTTACAAGAGTGCTTGGCTGTAGAGGCAATAATTTTAGTGCCTTCACAGATTATGTTCTTTGTTAGCTGTATCGCAGGAAAGTCTGGAAAGTGGCTCAAATGTGTATTCTAATTATTTTGATTGTGTTCAAGGCTACTGTTACCAGCTGGACTTTATACGAACAAAATTATGCATTCAAATTATAATTTAATGATGATACTGGCACTGTAACTTTTTCATGTTTGCTTTTCAGAATGACTGAAATTTATGCTAACACAATGCTTCACTCTTAAAATGTGACAGACAATCTCTATAGAAGGACAGCACCCAGTAGATGCCTAGGAAATTACTTGTGTCTACAAAGTGAGAGTATAGCTTCAGAAAATAGGTTATATTCCTAAGCACAACTGAAAACCTTTCAAATAAGCTGCCTTTGATATTTTTATATTTGTTTTACATTATTTCATTTTTAGCTGTAGAATATATTTCTTACTGCATTAATCATTTTGCTTACAACATACATAACTAACATTGAAGGGAAAGTACTTTTTTGGTATTTGTATACTGCTGTTAAGCACAGTTGTACTTGTCATAGGGTTTGAAGCAAGTTTTAAGACAAATTTGTGTTCCCCCTCCCCTAGGAAGTAAGAAAAACTTCTCAAACATTAATTATATAATTTCACTATTGGTTAAAATGCTAGTCGACTCGGTGCCAGTAGTTGAAATTCAAGTTAGAATTAATTATGGTTGTATGGAAATATGTTTTCCTCCCTGTGCCCCCACAAAAAATAATGGATTTGGCCAGAGTTCAAATAATTAGTCAAACACCCTGACTCTGCTCTAGCTGCATTTTCAAAATACAAGTAGTCCTCGACTTATGACCACAATTGAGCCCAAAACTTCTGTTGCTAAGTGAGAGATTTGCGAAGTGAGTTTTGCCCCATTTTATGACTTTTCTTGCAACATTTGTTAAGTGAATCACTGCAGTTAAGTTAGGAACACGGTTGTTAAGTGAATCTGGCTTCTCCCCTTGACTTTGCTGGTCAAAAGGTTGCAAAAGGGGATCACATGATGGCGGCACACGGCAACCATCATAAATATGAACCTGTTGCCAAGCATCCGAATGTAAATTACACACGATGGGTTGTAAGTCTGAAAAACGGTCATAAGTCACTTTTTTCAGTCCCATTGAAACTTTGAATGGTCACTAAACAAACTGTTGTAAGTCAAGGACTTGTAGATTGTGTCTGGCTCCTTGAAGTTCAGTGTAGGCAAGATATATATTCTGTATCTTAGAGAAAAAAATGCAGACAGATATTTTTAGGCACTGAAAATTTATATCATTTTCTTGAGTCCAGACTTGCTTATACACACAGATATCCTTAGCTGGATCAGACTGATTCTGAGATTGTAACGTTATAGCCACTTATCTGAAAACAACCATATTAAATAATGGCTCTTTGTCTTTTGGATATAGGATAGTTTTAGATACAAAAGAAATTTGTATCTAATACAAAGATTTCTAAATATTCATTTTTGCACTTAGCAAAATGTATGGATTTGGAAACAAAATGTCTCAAATTGTTATAACAAGCAGTGAGAAAAGCATATTTATCAACACATCTTTGCTTTCAATTAAGGTTTAGGTCTGAACAATTTCAAAACTGGTTACAGTTGGTCCCTGTATTTATTCTTAAAACGGAGAAGACATTACTCTGATTTCTTTCTCTGCCTTCCCAATGCTAAGTAAAAAAAAAAAAAAAATCCTAGATATGGGATGCTAGATGGTTGTATTTACCAATAAGCATTGAAAAGCTATAGCAAAATTAAGTGACACAGCTATATGGCTTCAGTTGGGAACAATATTTAATTTTAGAAATCATGCATATTTCTATGGAAGTGTACCTGAAAGTACAGGTTGTAGTGGACTTAACAACTACAATTGGGATCAGAACTTCCACCATGATACTCTTAAGTAAGTCATGGCATGACCACACTCAACTGTACAATCGTTGCCATGGTTGTTAAGCAAATTGAGCTTTCCTCACCAACTTTGCATGTTGGAATCCAACCGGAAGGTTGGAAATGGTGATCGCATGACCCTGGGATTCTGTCGTAAATACATATTGGTTGCCAAGTGTCCAAATCACAATCATGTGACAGCAAGGACTCTGTGAAAGTCATAAGTGTGAGGATTGGTTGTAGGTCACTTTTTTCACCACCATCATAACTTCAAATAGTTGCTGAACGGTCATTAGTCAAGGACTACTTGTAGTTCAAGGTTAAAGTTCATACTGAAGAACTTACAAAACAACCAAAGCATTCTGCATCCATGTTGAAAGCTACTGCCATAATAAATAAATTGTTTATGACATTAAAACACATTACCTTTTCTAATTAAGAATATATTTGATTTACTACATGTTTACCTTTTTTTGAATTCTAAGAGCATGTTATTAAATTCATTCTCATGACAGTCATTTGAGTGGCTACAATCAGCACATGAAGCTTTTAGCTAAATGGGATCTCTCTAGCACAGGCGTGTCAAACTGCCGGCCCGTGGGCTGGATGCATCACAAAACCGTGCCTACCCCATTGCCAGCAATGGGCAAAAAGTCGTGATACGTTGTGTGACGTCATGTGATGTAAGTTTGACATGCCTGCTCTAGCAGAACAATCATTGCAATATATTGGCTATCAATTGGAGTGAAATTGGGTTATGACTCTTGGCCTACATAGTTTAAAGTTTGTGAAGCTGAGTGAATGACATCCTCCCCCTGACTAACCTTGGATTTTATAGACGAACAAGAAAATAATTACTGGGAATGTTATTAAATATCTGTCCAGACAGAGCAGAAAATACAAAGGGATCTCTTGCCACTGGATTATTTACACTGGCAAAAGAGTCACCTTCGTTCTTCAGCCATAGATAATAATGATAAAGTTGGAAGGGACCTTGGAGGTCATCTAGTCCAATCCCCTGCTCAGGCAGGAAACCCTATACTATTTCGGACAAATGGCTGTCCAGTCTCTTCTTCAAAACTTCCAGTGTTGGAGCATTCGCCGCTTCAGGAGGCAGGTTGTTCCACTGGTTAATTGTTCTAACTGTCAGGAAGTTTCTCCTTAGTTCTAGGTTGCTTCTCTCTTTGGTTAGTTTCTACACGTTGCTTCTTATCCTGCCTTCAGGCACTTTGGAAAATAGCTTGATTCCCTCTTCTTTGTGGTAGCCCCAGAGATATTGGAACACATCTATCATGTCTCCCCTCGTCCTTCTCTTCGTTAAACTAGACATACCCAATTCTAGCAACCGTTCCTTATATTTTTTAGCCTCCAGTTCCCTAATCATCTTTGTTGCTCTTCTCTGTATTCTTTCTAGAGTCTCAACATCTTTTTTACATTGTGGTGACCAAAACTGGATGCAGTATTCCAAGTGTGGCCTTACCAAGGCATTGTAAAGTGGTATTAATACTTCACGTGATCTTGATTCTATCCCTCTGTTAATGCAGCCTAGCACTGTGTTGGCTTTTTTGGCAGCTGCAGCACACTGCTGGCTCATATTTAAATGATTGTCCACTAGGACTCCGAGATCCCTCTCACAGTTACTACTATTGAGCAAGGTATCCCCTATACTATACCTGTGCATTTGGTTTTTCTTACCTAAATAGAGTTAGCATCCAGAAAAATCCAGCTGAAATGCTGGGATTGTAGACATTGAATTGGCAAAATATACAAAATGGGTGGGAGAGGAGTTGGAATAGCTACATTCAAGCAAGCAAGAGAAGAAAAGAAATGGCCACTCTGCAAGTGATGGAGCGAGAAATATCCTGGCTGCCCAGTCCTAGTCTATGGATATTTTATTTTATTGTGATAAATTAATAAAAAATACACATTCAACAGAATCAGCTTCAAACTTAAATCATAATAATTTCTAAGATTATCTTTTATATAATTGTAAAATATTTATAAAGACAACAATTGCAAAAATATTATTACCCCAGCATCCTCCTTGTCCCACATGCATAAACAATGAATTGCTACAAATGGTTAGCAAGTTCTCCTTCCTTTGTTCTATAATAGCTAAACAAGATGGAGCTTCTCTGCTACAAATGAGTTTTGTGTCCAAAGTCTCTGAAGGGAAATAAGAGTTCAAAATGATTACATATAAGATTTATATATATATGCATATACACACAGCCAGCCACTGTGATGTAGTAATTAAGGAGTTGAACAGGGAAATCCAAGTCCTAGTCTATCTTCAAGTAGGAAGAGAGAGTGTCTGGCCAAAAGCTACCTAGCAAACTCTCATGCCCAAGGGAGGACTAGAACTCACATTTGTATCCACCATGATAGCCTTAATATTTTTAGAATTTCTGATTATGCAACCAAGTGATTCTAAAGGCAAAGTAGAAAAAGAACAGTATCTTAGGGCATCCTTCTTTATAAATTTAACAAAGAAGAAAGCATATGGTTAATATTCACTCTTAAGAGATTGCATACATTTTATCAATCCCAAATTTAAAACTTTGAAGCAATTTATAACATTTTAACATAGACTTCTTAAATTTCCAAGAAAATGTTATCAAAGAACTCAAAACTATTATAACTCTGGATCTTACCTATTTTGTGCTATTGTCTGATATTGTTAGAAATTTGACATCCCTGTATAAATCCACTCTAGGTTCTGTCATTAGAAATTCGTGCTATATTTAGAATATCTGTGATAGCTCATTAAAATTTGAAAGTCAGGACTTATTGAAAAAGGTTTACCATGCAACTCTAGCAAGGTATGACATAAAAGTTCCATATACTTTTTATATCTAATGGAATATACTCTAATGGAAACTATTTGCCAGTTTTATAGGTTTATTTGTAATAACAGTTTTTTGAAGTGAATTAGTAACTAACTGCTGACATCAATATGGCAAAACTATTTAGTGTAAAAGAAAATCTAATCTTTTGTTTAATTAGTATATTTTGAATAAAATTCAAAATTATTAATGACACATTCTACTGTGTATTCTGAATAGAATACACAATAGTATTTACTGATCTAATAAGAATATATTTTACTCCCTCTCCACAATATTGTTGTTTTGTGCAAAGTATGAAAATATATGTTGGTACTTGTTCAGTTCATTTTTTGCAAACACCAAAGATCTATATCGATTCAGCAATGGATCTGAACAATACTCATTGTTTTACTTTCTTTTTGGCATAGTGGTAATTCAATCTCATATCAATGTTCTGGCAGAGCAGATGTATTCCCTATAACAGTGCTGTCTAGCAGGTCCCCAAAAACTTGCCTTCTTTTTATGACATCTGCCCTGTGAATTAGCCTCCACCCTGAAATATGGGTGGCTCCTACTCTATTGGCTTTTTGCAAGGCCATGAAGATCTGGCTTTTCCACCAGGCATTGATGGTGAGATGTTAGTTGTGTGAGGGGAGTGTCTAACAGTTTATGTTTTTACTGAGTCTTGATGTGATTTTAGCTAATATTTGCTTTAATTAATTCTTTGTTTTTATTTGTTTGCCTCCCAGAGTTTAACCCTAAGAGGATTAAAATAAAAATGTATAAATAAATAAAACTTTTAGCAGTAATCATACCAAGGCATTGTTCTCTGTTTTATAACATTTATATCATTCAACAAACCACATTCAAGAACCATTTAAAAAGCTGTAATTTCACAGAAGCATGGTCTGAAATTATATTAACATCTATATCTAAGAGTTAACTCTAGATATTAATGAATTAGCAGGGGGGGAAGCTAGCTTAGAACAATTCTTATGTGTGGAAAAAACAAACTATATTCTCATTAAAAAGATTAGTAGGCTGCCAAATATTCACTAAGTTAGGTTTGGGCAAGTATTCTATCAAAATGCTATGAATCCAGGAATATCGTTTGGATGGTAAAATGTTTCCATTAAAATGTTAATATGTAAAATTGCTACTTTATATAAATCTCATCAAAATCTTTT